GTCATGAATATTCAGTGTGAATTTTGGAAAATGATGCAACTTAAAGTAAAGTTTTAGTAAACAAAAAATGTAAAATATATTAAACCAGTTACCTACAAACTAAATTTCAGTCAATACCTTTCAAATTACCTGTAAAGATCAAAAACATGTCGCAAAATGGCATAGATATGAGCAAACAACAAAACCTCTGTCTATCTTTGATTAATTCTTGTGCTATTTTAAGTAAATTTACATTTAAAATGACCGGAAATGAAATTGTTGATTGCAACTTAAACTAGACTACCATTGAAAAATGACCGATAAAAATGCACGTTTCTCTCGAATTGTCTTGGTGTCTTCGGTATTCTCATTCCTTGTCCCATAAGCGACAAGTGCAACGACGACCCCAAGACGGAATCTGGTACTTTTAACACACTTTTTGTTTTGTCCAGTTTAGTGGGAAATGCGTAATGGAGCATTTAAGGCCCAATAGCAAACTAAATGAATTTCAGATTCAACCTTTTCCAACTTGTTTGAAACTTTTCATAATTGTTTGTGATGGACAATCATTCACATTTGAGCTAAAACTTTGTTATTTTTAATCTTGCCAATTTCTTCAAAATGGCGTAGGGAAATTTACGTATTCTAGTAAATTTAAGCAGCATCCACGCTTCTATGGGATTTATCACGATGTAACACACACATATGCAGTTTTTGTTTGTTTACATTCATCTGCTGTCTGCTGTTATATTCATTCCAATCCATAGAATTGTCAAGAAATTGTCAAGAAATCAGCCTTTTAATACATGGCTCGAAATTTGTCACGTGAGTGTGACTATTTTCGTTCTTGTCTAATTTCTTCAGCAACGTTTCCATCTGAACTGCGTGTTAACCTTCTGTTCTAATATCAACAACATTTCAAGAAAAACCTGTCGAAGTGCGTTTGCTCAGTATGATATTTTTCAATAAATTATAGTACGAAACGTCACTTTCAATCGAAATCACGTCTGATACAATGTTGTGGGAAAAAATATTACCAATCTAGGAAAAAATGCATCATTGCTAAGGAAAAATCCTAAGGGGCTAAATTTATTTGTCTAACCTCTCAATTAGGTATTTAGCTAACAATTTTGATGTTTAAGGAAAATAAGTAATTGTAGTATCAATTCTAGAGGGGGTTACCTTAATGCCATTTTAATATAGACGAAGAGTCCATAAATTTGAGGAGCCATTTATACATCAAATAAAACCAAATAAGTCAGAAATAGTGTAACAACAAAACAGCTCTAGTTCATTAGACAAATTTATCAAAGATGGAATGTACAACAAATGTATGCAAGTAAAGCTACTTGTTATTCATTGGAGAGCTATTTATTCATGGAACGTCAGAATGCTGTGCAATAAATCAATCAGCAGTGCAGTTCAGCAGCAAACATTGCCTATGTAAATCGGCCTCTACGGCAAACAATCGCGATTAAATATTCAGTTCACCCTAGTAGATATGATAATTTTCGAAACGAGGTAAACTTTAAAAATTTTATAAAGATTTTTCCAAAGCTAAAATGCCACCTTACACTGTGCGCAAAAAGTGAATCCATCTGTATCTTTGCATCTTTTGTTCCCATTTTCTATGACATACTTGTCACGCGTTGGCACATATATTTGCACGAAACAAGATAACTCCACATTCGACGATAATTAACACTGTCGACGGTCATTTCAAAGTCATTCCTTGACCGAATTCAACGGCAAATGGTGCCATGCATTCCATCCGCTGATTCATTCATTAAATAGAGCAGAAAAAAATTATCAACACGAACTTCTAATTGGCGTACATTGAACTGGAATGCACCGTTGCCAAAAAATATTCCACTCAATCGAGGCACCTGAAAATCACGCGCCACCGACGTGATACTCGCGGTAGTAATCAATGGTGTATCTACACTCCAACCAACTGCGCTATCAACAGGCAACCGGATTTTTCCGACCGCGAATTCAGAAGTGTTTTAAATTGTCGTTAATTTGGCATCACCAGGCTAATTTGAACATTGTTTAATGATGACCAGGACGCGCCACCGCCAGCCGGTCGCCGTGCTACCGCACCGGTACCATCAATTGACCAGACCATTCATGTGGATTGATACTGTACGCTCAACGGCGCAGTCCCAGAGAGATAAGAAAGTACGTCGTAGGTCGTCGCTGAAAATAGCGCTCGTGTACAGACTGCTTCGATAAGCGCATCACGAGAATCGTGCCGTCGCACTTCTTATCGCGCACCATGTGCAAAAGTGAAACCTGTGTGTGGTGAACCATTGATAACAAACTTTTATCATACCAATACTTGGGGCCTACGTATGTTCTTCTTCTTTGAATTTATTACGTCCCTATTTGGAGTTTACGCCGGCTCTCAACTTAGTGTTCCTTGAGCACTTTCAGTTATTGAGATCTTTCTAAGGTAGTATTGTGAAACGGGGTATTTTTGATAATGCAGTTAACTTTGATAGTTGAATATTATGATTAAAGTTATTCTCAGCACTATTTCCTAATTGGAACTTTAGTTCTATTTTGTAGCTTACGGTATTTGAGGGTATCTTTTATATCGTATAAAGTTTTTATATAGTATGTTTTACATATTACAAATGTCTTAAAAAAAAAACAATTCTAGCAGAACAGTCCATTAGGTCTTAAGTAACATTGACAGATTTTCTTTGTATCCCCACGGCCAATTGAAGACATTCTCAAATTTTTAAGTCTGTTATTTGACGCTTAGCATCTTCAACTATGTAAATCGTTAAATTCACGCAGAAGTAATACAAACAAACAAAATAATTAAATTAGAATATACTCCAAAAAACTATCCGGTTCCGGATACTGTTTTTGTATTAGAGTTTTTTTTTTAAATTATGGTCTCAGAAAATTTTAAATTTTGCCCACAAGTAGAATGTATGGTTATAAAGGGCGAACACTAAATTATTGCGACACATTCAACAGGGCATAACTTTTTTACCATTGGGTAAAAATCAACCAAATTTTGCACACTTTCTCATTGATGTGTATTGTGTACATGCTGTCAAACTCGAAGTTGTGTTTTTCGATTCAACGAAAATGGAGGTGAACCAACGCGAGTTGAGAGAACAAATTCTTTCCAAACACCTGGAATTTCCTGACCTGTCGCACCGGCAGTTGGAAAGAAGTTGAACATTCACCATTCAACCGTCTCCAGAGTGTTGAAGCGGTTCCAGGAGCTGTTGACGTTGGACCACGGCAAAGGAGCTGGAAGAAAACCGGGACCGGAGAACAAAAAGACGGAGGGAAAGGTGAAGCGGATGATTAAAGCAAATCCCAACGTCTCAAGCCGTGATTTGGCTAAAAAGATCGGCATGTCGCAGAGCTACGTCCAGAATGCAAAGAAGAGAGCTGGACTACATACATACAAGGTACAGAACTTCCCAAACCGCGATGAGCGGCAACAATCGACGGCTAAAACTCGGGGACGGAAGCTCTACGAGAAGATGCTGACAAAATATGGCTGCTGTGTGATGGACGACGAAACGTATATAAAAGCCGATTTTAAGCAAATTCCGGGGTTGGAGTTTTTCACCGGCAAGAGCCAGTTCGATGTGGACGACAAATTTAAGAAGAAGAAAATATCGAAGTTCGCCTCCAAATATCTCATTTGCTCTTGCGGACTGAGGAGTGAGCTTTTCGTGACAAAGGGCACAGTAAATGGCGAGATCTACAAATCTGAGTGCCTCGAGAAGCGCCTTTTGCCGTTCTTGCAGCAGCACGACGAAGCTCCGCTATTTTGGCCAGATTTGGCATCATGCCACTATTCTAAAAGTGTCCTGGAGTGGTATGAGGCCAATTCTGTCCATTTTGTTCCAAAGGACATGAATCCGCCAAACTGTCCGGAGCTGCGCCCGGTGGAGCAGTACTGGGCAATAATGAAACGGGAACTTCGGAAGAGCAAGAAGACAATCAAAGACGAGAAGGACATGTTAAGAAAATGAAAAAAAAAACTGAGAAACTGGTACCGGATGACACTGTAAAGACTTTGATGGAGGGCATCAAGCGAAAATGCGTTCAATTTTACACTCAAGGCTCCATCGATTAACTTTTCTTTTGATTTTTGAAGTAAATATATGTATAAAACTACCCTAAAATTTTGGTTTGATTCTAAACATTATAAGAAAATTGGCATGACATTTTCGGTGTCGCAATAATTTCGTGTTCGCCCTTTATGAGCGAAACAAAAAATTCAAAAAGTTCAGGGTGGTTAATTTTTCCGGAAAATTTTAGTTAAAGTATTCGGATTTTTCCGGACATCACGTACTTTGAAAATTCATAACTCATGAACTAAGTAACGTAGAATTTGTTTATTCATTAATCGTAAACTCTACGTGTTGGCATAAAATTGTGAGACCCTCCGGCCCAAACCCGTCCCCATTAGTATTATTGTACGGGCAAGTACAATCAAACTCTATATGCCCAGGGCAGTCGAGAGATGTTTCAACCCGAAAAATTCCTAGACCGTATCGGAAATCGAACCCAGCCGCCTCCAGCATTGTCTTGCTTTATTAGCTGCGCCTTTACCGACTGAGCTGAAGGAGGCCCCGATGTACGTACAATCCGCTATTTGCCAGGTGCATTTGGTTCCTGTTTTGCGCACTATAGTGTGTGGATTGTTTCTGTAGGTCAAAGCGTTAAATGTATTGGATGGGAAACATTGATTCGTGCTGATACAAGCATCTACGTCAAATGCATCTTGAACACATCATTGATTAAAAAGTAAACGGGTCTGTTTGGTATACAAACGTCTCACCACAGACGATGAACGACGTCACGAAAAATAAACACGATGCAGAAAATATGCAAAGCATCCGTTATCGCCTTCAACGAGCTCTCACTATATTGCGAATCGTTTAATTTAATGGCAAATAAAAACCACTTCATAAGGAGCACGTGACTCCACAATGACCGAGCAGTTATCTCACGCCGTCGGTATTTGCTTTTCTTTTCAGAGCATCCCGTGGTATACAGTTACCGGAACTGGGTCGTTATGCCACTGGTATTTTCTACCTGGATAAGAATACCCACGAAGAGGCCAAAAAGGACTTCAACTCGTTGGCGGAGAGCCTCGGAATACGGGTGATCTGCTGGCGTGATGTTCCGACTAACCAGGAAGCGGTCGGTGCGGTGGCCCGCAAGAGCGAGCCAATGTCGCAGCAGGTCTTCGTTACGGCCGATGTCGATGAGGAAACCTTCAAGCGACACGTTTTCGTCCTGCGCAAGCGTGCCACCCATGAGCTGGTCCGCCCAGGACGGCGATTCTACATCTGTTCGCTTTCAACCAAGACCATCGTCTACAAGGGTCTATTCACTTCGGACCAACTTTGGGAGTATTATGTTGATCTCTTGAACCCAGATTTTATGACCTATTTGGCGTTGGTGCATACTCGCTTCAGCACCAACACCTTCCCATCGTGGGAACGTGCCCATCCGTTGCGTGTCCTGGCACATAACGGGGAGATCAATACCCTTCGCGGTAACGTCAATTTCATGAAGGCACGTGAAGGCGTCATGAAGAGCGAGCAGTTCGGAGATGATTTGAAGAAGCTGTACCCGGTGGTAGAACCAAATCTGTCCGATTCGGGGTCATGCGATTGTGTGCTGGAGTTTTTGACTCAAGTGGGCAACCGTTCGCTTCCGGAGGTAAGGAAACTGCAATTTCGAGATTACATTCGGACCCAGATATGAACGTATCCATCATCCTAATTCATATAGGCCGTCATGACTATGGTTCCGGAAGCGTGGCAAAACGATCGCACCATGTCGCAGGAGAAACGCGACTTTTACCACTGGTCCGCCTGTATCATGGAACCCTGGGATGGACCGGCACTGATTTCCTTCACCGACGGACGCTACATCGGAGCGATTCTCGATCGAAACGGGCTTCGTCCGTCCCGATTCTACGTGACGCGTGACAACCTGCTGATCATGGCATCGGAAGTTGGTGTATATGACGTAGATCCTAAAGACGTCACGCTCAAGGTAGAATATTTGGAATTTGACTTATATGCTTTTATTTTTTGTAGATCTTTATAACTCATACACACAAATCGTATCATCACATTTGATAGGCCCGAAAGGCGCATCCGGCGCGTTTCGTGGAACAATGCCCATCAGAGTAAAAGATTAACCGGTAATTTTTAACTCTGGTAGAGTTAAGTGAATTTTCATTGTTGCTCTTTTTTTGTTAAGGCTCTCCCTCTAAAACACACTTGCCGTCCCACCAGAACAAAAACGATTCTAATATGTCAATTTCAATTCTCTTTTGGAATCGAATCGTTTGTGGTTTGATTGCGAATTATTATATAAAAAAAAATCAATAGAGTCGTCTCAAGCCAGGCCGTATGCTTTTGGTGGACACGGAGAAGAAAGCGCTAATTCAGGACGTCGAATTAAAGTCGCAGATTGCCATCTCTCGTCCACACTCGGAATGGCTACAGCAGCAGGTAAGCTTCGAATATGTCTTCAAATAACCAACTGCAATTTCGAATTTCAGCTACTCGTTGTCCATATGTGCCTGTCCACATCCATCAGGTAGAAACTAACCACCATTCTCACAAAACACCTCATGACACACGAAGGCGTTGTAAATCACCATCAACAAACCAATATCACATACTCAAATTTCGAACGCATTTAACACTGAACTATGAAACACATATTAATCGTTTCTGTATTTTCTCTCTGTTTCATCCTTCACATTTATCACACAATCAAATATTTCAAAAATATACCAATATTTTCGGCTCAATCTAACCTACTAAAGATGGTAAGTTTCCAAATTGGCCCCCAAAATTGTTGTTTGTAGTTGTTGGTTACCTAGTTAAGTATTTGTGTTTGTTTGCACCATCCCTAATTCTGCTGATTCCACCGTAGCATGATCCTAATACTCGCAGCCTCCACGTTAGAATGCCTAATTGCGTTGATCCCTTGAACACTCATAGAACAATATAAGCGAGTTCGTCTAATGTCAGTTTCTGACCGTCATTTATAGATAACTATGGATGAAATCCGTCAAGCCGCTGAGGATCGAAACCATTGCACCGATTTGAGTGGCTATCGTCCCCCGGAGGAAGAGCGTGGTATGATGGATCCGCGACTACAGTTGTACGCCTACACCACTGAAACCATCCACATGCTGCTACTTCCTATGATCAAAGACAAGAAGGAAGCCCTCGGATCGATGGGTAACGATGCTCCACTAGCCTGTCTTTCTGCATTCCAACCATTGCCATATGACTACTTCAAGCAACTATTCGCCCAGGTTACCAACCCACCGATTGACCCATTCCGGTAAGATCTGCAGGCAGAAAATCGGTCACGAAACTCCTATTAACATTCTGTTTCCATTACAGTGAAAAGATCATCATGTCTCTGCAGTGCCCAGTTGGACCGGAAGCTAACCTATTGTGTGCAACGCCATCGCAGGTTCATCGAATCTGGCTGGATAACCCGATCCTAAGCATCCCGGACGCAGAAATTCTCAAGCGGAATGAGCACCGCGGATGGAAGACCAGGGTGATCGATATCACATTCCCAGCCAAAGAAGGACCCGATGGCTATCTCACGGCTCTACGCCGTGTGTGTATGGAAGCGCATAATGCCGCCAAGGGAGACTATCAGTTGATAATGCTGTCTGATCGTGCTTCCAGTAAAGATCGAGCGCCAGTTTCGGCCCTGCTCGCCCTGGGTGCAGTGCATCATCATCTAATCGAAGGACGTCTACGCATGAAGGTCGGTCTTTTAGTCGAAACGGGAGAAGCACGTGAAGTTCACCAGATGTGTGTACTTTTGGGATATGGTGCCGATGCCATCTGCCCCTATCTGGTATTCGAACTGGCGGAAGCGTTGCGTGACGAAACTGTTATCGACCCGTCGCTGACAAACGAAACTATCTACAAATCATACGCACAAGCCGTTGAAACGGGCATCCTGAAAGTTATGGCCAAAATGGGTATCTCGACCCTTCAATCCTACAAAGGTGCGCAGATTTTTGAGGCCGTCGGAATGGGATCCGATGTGATTGATTTCTGCTTCCGAGGTACTCAGTCTCGCATTGGGGGCGTCAGTTTGGAAGTTCTTGCCCAGGAAGGCCTTCAACGACATGAACTGATCTACGGTAAGCATAGTGTTGATATGAAAATCCTTCGAAATCCCGGTCAATACCACTGGAGAGCTGGCGGTGAAGGCCACCTTAACGAGCCGGCTGCAATTGCCGCTCTTCAGGAAGCCTCTATAAATGAAAATAAGGGAGCCTATGCCCGCTTCCGTGATACAACGATGCAAAGCGTTCAGCTGTGTGCTTTGCGTGGTCAACTAGAATTGATCAAAGGTCGTCCCAAAATTGACATATCTGAGGTCGAGTCAGCCAGCGAAATTGTCAAACGGTTCGTCACCGGGGCTATGAGCTTTGGCAGTATTTCGCTCGAAGCACATTCTACCCTTGCCATTTCCATGAACCGCATCGGTGGCAAGAGTAACACCGGTGAGGGAGGTGAAGATGCCGATAGATATCTGCACCAAGATCCCAAAAACAGTCAACGATCCGCCATCAAGCAGGTTGCATCCGGTCGTTTCGGTGTAACTGCCGCTTACGTTGCCAACGCGGACGATCTGCAGATCAAAATGGCTCAAGGAGCTAAGCCTGGAGAGGGAGGTGAACTGCCTGGCTACAAGGTTACAGCGGATATTGCCAAAACGCGTCATTCGGTGGCCGGCGTGGGACTGATTTCGCCTCCACCGCATCACGATATCTATTCCATTGAAGATTTAGCTGAACTGATCTATGATTTGAAGTGTGCCAACCCGAAAGCTCGCATCAGCGTAAAGCTGGTATCGGAGGTTGGAGTGGGCGTTGTGGCATCTGGCGTTGCGAAGGGTAAGGCTGAGCATATTGTCATTTCTGGCCACGACGGCGGCACTGGTGCTAGCTCGTGGACTGGCATCAAGTCAGCAGGTTTGCCGTGGGAGTTGGGTATTGCTGAAACCCATCAAGTGTTGGTGATGAACGATTTGAGGTCTAGGTAAATATTGGATAACAATAGTTTTGAGAACAATAATCAAACAAATTTTCTTCGCAAATACAGAGTGGTTGTCCAAGCCGACGGTCAACTCCGCACTGGATTCGATGTCGTAGTGGCCGCGCTTCTCGGTGCCGACGAGTTTGGTTTCAGTACTGCTCCACTCATCGTTATGGGATGTACCATGATGCGCAAGTGTCATTTGAATACCTGCCCAGTCGGTATTGCCACCCAGGATCCGATACTCCGAGCCAAGTTTGCTGGCAAACCGGAGCATGTAGTCAACTATTTCTTCATGCTAGCAGAAGACGTAAGTTGAAAATATTTCCCGCATACATAATTCTAACTAAAAATATAATCTATTTTATCTAGATCCGCGAGATTATGGCTAGCTTGGGGCTCCGAAAGTTCCAGGAACTGATTGGTCGCACCGATTTGTTGCAAGTGCGCGAGGACTTGACGAACAAAGCCGCTCTGTTGGACTTGCAAATGCTGCTGAAGAGCGCCTTGGATCTTCGACCGGGAACTAACATCGTCGGGGGCTCGCTGAAGCAAGACTTCGCTTTGGAGAAGCGTGTCGATAATATACTGATTGAAAAGTGCCGCGGAGTGATCGAGGGAACCGAACAGTCGATCACTCTAAACATGGACATTAAGAACGAAGAACGAGCTTTCACCAGTACTCTGAGCTATGAAATAGCCATTAGGTATGGAGATGATGGTCTACCGAATGACCGGTCCATTTACATTAATCTGAAAGGTTCTGCTGGGCAAAGCTTCGGTGCCTTCTTGGTCAAGGGCGTCAATCTCTATTTGATCGGCGATGCTAACGATTATGTTGGCAAGAGTTTGTCCGGTGGCAGCATCATTATTCGGCCACCACATGAATCGAATTTTGAATCACACTTGAACGTTATCGTCGGAAATGTGTGTCTGTATGGTGCTACATCTGGTAAGGCGTTCTTCCGAGGTATTGCTGCCGAGCGGTTTTGCGTGCGCAATTCTGGAGCTACGGCTGTCGTAGAAGGTGTCGGCGATCATGGTTGCGAATACATGACTGGGGGAATGGTGTTGATTTTGGGATTGACGGGAAGAAACTTTGCTGCCGGCATGTCCGGAGGTATCGCGTACGTTTTGGATGTTGACGGATCATTCCGTTCCAAAGTCAATCCTGGTATGGTTGAGCTTTTGGGATTGGATACAGATGAAGATCGAGACACTGTAAGATCTTTGATGCAGGAATTTGCCAATGAAACGGGTTCAATTATTGCCCACGATTTGTTGACTAGATGGCCTGAGTCGTGTAACCGATTTGTGAAGGTATTCCCATATGAATATCAGAAAGTTTTAAAAGCCTTGAAAGAAGAACAGGTGGCTGTTCAGAAGGATATTAAAGCAATAAGTAATGGAACACCGAAGCACGAACCAAAGGTGAAGGATATTGAAGAATCAATTCAGGATGCTGTTCTGGCCAAGAAGAAACTTGATCTAGTGTTGGATAAGACACGTGGCTTTATTAAATACAAACGCGAGACATCGGTCTATCGGAATGCGGTTGAACGTCAAAAGGATTGGAAGGAAGTTTACAACTTCCCTCATGTCCGTAAAAATCTAAAAATGCAGGCGGCTCGTTGCATGGAATGTGGCGTGCCCTTCTGTCAGTCCAGTTCCCATGGATGTCCCCTAGGAAACATAATTCCTAAGTGGAACGATTTGGTATTCAATGGCAGCTGGAAAGAAGCAATTGCCCAGCTTCTTCAGACGAACAACTTCCCAGAATTTACAGGACGAGTATGCCCAGCTCCGTGCGAAGGAGCATGCGTCTTGGGAATTTCTGAGCCAGCGGTTACAATCAAAAATATTGAATGTACGATCATTGATCATGCATTCGAGCAGGGATGGATCGTCCCACAGGTTCCAGAAGAACGAACCGGCAAACGTGTTGCAGTTATTGGATCCGGTCCAGCTGGTCTGGCCGCAGCACAGCAACTGAACAAAGCCGGCCATTTGGTAACGGTTTATGAGAGAAATGATCGCCCTGGCGGCCTTTTGCAGTATGGAATTCCAACAATGAAATTATCGAAGGAAGTCGTTAAGCGTCGTATTGATTTGATGGTAGCTGAGGGTGTCGAGTTCAAATGCAATGTACATATTGGAAAGGACGTAATGGCATCACAGTTGGAAAACGAATTCGACGCTGTCTTGTTCACAACCGGTGCTACTTGGCCACGTGACTTGAACCTACCGAACCGTGACCTGAAGGGTATTCACTTCGCCATGGAATTCCTAGAAGCTAGCCAGAAGAAGCTAATCGGATCGCGCCCGGATTGGATTTCGGCTGAAGGAAAGGATGTACTTGTCATCGGTGGGGGCGATACGGGTTGTGATTGCATTGCAACATCTTTGCGACAGGGAGCCAAGTCGATTACTACGTTTGAAATTCTACCAACACCACCGGAGAAGCGTGCCCTTGATAACCCATGGCCACAGTGGCCTAAGATCTTCCGGTAAATGAACTGCTTATTGCCGAAAGTGAGTAGATTATTGATTTTGATGTTTATTATTCTTTTCCCTAGAGTCGACTACGGCCATGAAGAGGTGCGAGTTAAATGGGGTAACGACCCACGCCAATACAGCACTACCACAAAGGAATTTGTAAGCGATGGTAACGATCACATCAAGGGAGTCAACACGATACAAGTAGAGTGGACCCAAAGCCCAACCGGACAATGGAGCATGAAAGAGGTACCTGGATCTGAAAAGTACTACCCAGCTGATCTTATCCTGCTAGCCATGGGCTTCTTGGGCCCGGAGAAGCTTGCACCTACAGAGATGAGTAAGTATAGCATCGAATCATCGAAAATCACTTCAGAATGGTCTAAAATGTGTATTCATTAACAGAACTTGAGCTTGATGGAAGAGGTAACATCAAAACTCCTGTTGGTAACTATGGAACCGCCAATCCCAAAGTATTCGCCGCCGGTGATTGTCGTCGCGGACAATCGTTGGTGGTTTGGGCCATTTCTGAAGGACGACAGGCAGCCCGTCAAATTGATGCCTATCTTATCGGTAAACCAAGTTCGTTGCCAGGTCCAGGTGGAGTCATTGATCTAGTGAGATCATCCTAAATCTCCGTATAACTACACACCATAGATGTTTAGTAAGATTTTGACTAATGACTAGTTGACGTCTATTTCTAACGATAGATTCGGTAACGTTAGTTCCAGGTGAGGCATTGATCAATCAATCGAAGAAAATAGTGACAGGTTTACAGACACAAAAATGAACGTTTGATACGTCCCAACGGTTCACAATGAACCCTAAACAGATTGAAATATGAACTACACAAATCTAGTGATTCTCATGTATTTCTGTTATTTTCTCCTCCGTGCGATATTTTCATCATTTCACACATTAACCTATTATTTACTGAAAATCATTCTTAGTTGTTAATTTAATTTTTAAGCAACTTTATAAAATTGCTTGTATTATTGTTAGACACCGAAAAACTGCTTAGTAACGATCAATAAAAGTTATTTTTTTTATTTTTTGTAACCACAACAACCAAATTTTCATAATCATTACTTTAATAAGGACCCATTTTGTTTTACACTGTGATTATATAATTTCGTTTAGAGATAGCAATGTTGCCAACTGTGAAGTGACAACCAAAAACCAGAAGATGCAACGTATCTGTGTTATTATTGTCATTTTTACAAAACATAAAAAATAAGAATCTTAATCATGTTGATTAGTTTGCTATTTGAGTTTAGCTACCGAAAATACACTTATACTGTTCCTTGCGTTGTCTTGTATTTTGATTTTTCTTTCATCCCTATTCTATATTCTAAATTTATTCATAGACACACTTCACGTTACATTGAAATATCATTACACTTCTCCGCGCAAAAGTTCAACAAAACACAAAAATCAATATACTTCCAAAATACCTCCTTCATGACCACCGGCTATCTCTCGTTATTCTAACGGAACCATATTTGGACATCGTAGCCGTATCTATTGTCTTAAACTCAGGTCATCAGCGATCTACAGCGCTCTGAATGCGAAATAAAACAGTCAATTAAGTGGCGCCTGCAAATTTGTTTTTTCTCAAGACGATATTCAAAATTTACCAGTTGAACCAATGACACGAGTTATTTATGTGTACTGACAATAATTAGAGATTTAAAATGTGTGAGTTTTGAAAACAATACTTTCCAGCAGAAATGTAATAACAAAAAGCTTACAGTAGGAATGTTGATCTTAATCAATCACACATAGAACAACATGGAACAAAAAGAAAGCTACCCAACCCCCGAATACAGAAGAGCGCAAATCGAACAAACAGTCCAAATGCTCTAAAATACAGGACAGACTCTAAAACTCTGTAAAACAAACTGTAGTGTATTTAGTTGTTAGTCTGCTATACTCCCCTGTGTTATCGAAAAAGACGATTTCTCTATATGTGACAGCAATTAAGGTTCGAAGTTTCCAAAACTGTCTTGATGAACATATTTACAAACAGTTAATGAATTAGGTTAATGTTGAATCAATTCGCCGGAAAATTCGCATGCAAATTCGGAATAATCAATTCAAATAAAACAATTTGAACAAACATAATCAGCACGTCTAAAACGATAAAACACACGCTTATAATTGTACAATTAGCTGTGAAAAAAAAGCGCATATATTTAACCTTTAAAATTCGAAACAAAGCTATAAACCGAACAAACTTGTTACAACTATATATACACAGGAAATTAACAGTTACAAGCAAATAAATGCGCTGATAACAAAACCGTCATGTATATTATACACAAAGACTCCGGTATATACACATATGAATATTAGCTTGAAGTTGTTCAATAAATGTAGAAATGCATATTTGTTGCGCTTTTTTTTTTTTGCTAACCTGGTTCACGAGGAAAGCATACATATACCATCCTAAATTGCATTGGCGGCGGCACGGCGGTAAGTATGGATGATATCACCTGAAAATTAAGCAAACCGAAGTCGCTTCCAACAATTTGCGAATTTTCATGCACCATTTACTGTGACTATCGTAAGATCATTCATTTTAGGCATATGCGGTTTTTAGCATTTTTTAAATGGAAACGCTTATTGATTGCGGAAATCTAGCGATCATTTGGTTTACATTAGAGTGTCTGTTCAGTGTTGGCATCTAAATTAACGGTGATTATGAGCCGCTAGTAACACAAGATGAGTCACTCCCCCCTATTCTGCGAGTCACGTGACTCTCTGTCACCGGTGTGGTGACAATAGTCACCTCGTGTGAGGTGACTCTCCATTTGATTTGCACGGAGAGTCACCTCACACGAGGTGACAATTGTCACCTCACCGGTGACAGAGAGTCACGTGACTCGCAGAATTAGGGGGACTGTTACATACTGCTGTTGGTTCTCATCCAAAATGACTGGTAAAAAAGGCATATGACGTATTTAGACCTATCACTTTCAGTGTCACGTCAACCATCAAGAGAAAACAGAATTTATCCACCTATGGTGAGATTTTAATTAATTAAATTCCGAAAAAAAATTGCTGTAGTCCGTATTTAGTGAAGAGAAGTAAGATTATTTTTGAATTATATGTGAGTTTATGTTCGAATTTTCATGCGATACGTCTTGACTAATGGCAGATTTTTGACAAGGAGCACTCGGAACATATCCAATGTAAATGATCATGTATTTGAATTTAGGTATCATTTTAATTTACTTCAGATTCAGACTTTCCCGGTGCAACCTGGAACATGTGTGGCCAATGTATACTTGTTGCACTTTCAGGCACTACCTAGAAAAAAAACTGGAAAACGTGGAATTATCAAGGAATTGTGCCATAAATCAGGGAATTTTCGTGAAGTTGCTTCATTGGAGTTGTTGAATCACTTGATATTTTTTTTAGTTTGTTAGCTGACTCTATTTTTATGGTGCAAAGTTTTGAAAATTATCAAACTTGAATTTTTCTGAAGAGCTTTGAGTGTGTTGGTTTATTTCCTTTTAATTCCGTTATAATTGCTTATCTTTTGACAGATACGCGTATTTCGTCTACTACTTGCTGACTTCATCAGTGCCAAGTACTCAACACCACCGAAAAATCCATCTTTTATCAACGAATTATATACTAATCAATAGTTACTATCAGCAGGTATCCACTGCCATGTCACAATTTACCTAGCCAGGTACCGAAATTTAGTTTAGATTGAATTTTTCTATAAATCATATATCTTACGAGAGTTCCCAGCATTTTAAAAATGTTTTTCTAAGTCTCAGAATCATGAAAAAGCAAGTGTATTTTAAGTCCTAGAATATTTTTTTTTGCTGTGCAAATCAACTTTGATCAAATTGCAATCGTGCAAACGGGCGGCATCATATTTTTTACTCAAATCGCGATCGAACATTCCTGGGTTGCTTCTGATGGACCTCACAACCTTTCTATGGAGCTGACGGTTGGCAGTTCCACTCCGGCGTTTACTATGAGGCTTCCGATACGTCGTTGAGGTTTCCCTGTACGTTTTGAACACGTGCCATATTGTGTTTCTAGGAAAAATAGTAAACGCTGGAGTGGAACTGCCAACCGTCAGCTCCATAGAAAGGTTGTGAGGTCCATCAGAAGCAACCCAGGTATGTTCGATCGCGATTTGAGTAAAAAGTATGATGCCGCCCGTTGTACAGTGCAGTGAATTCCAAACAGATCACTGAAGCAGAATACCGTAGCTAGAACCCATGCTTGAAAGCTGTACGACAACCGACAACCTACTGACTAAGACTTATGGATGATGAAACCCATGTAAAGGCCGACTTCGGGCAGCTTCCAGGACCAAAATTTTACAAGGCGATGGCTCTAGGAGGTGACCCTGGCAGATTCAAATTTGATTTTGCTGATAAAGGTTAAAGGTTTTCGTCACTGAGAAAATGATGAACTCGGAGGTTTACGTTACGGATATCTTCAGAAGAAAATTCTGCCCTTCATCCAGTCACATGATGGTCCGGTGACATCTTGGCCGAATCTTGAGGGTTGTCACTACAGCCAGGAAGAACTACAATGGTACAATGACAACGAAGTCCCGTTTGATCCGAAAATTCTCAATACGCCCAATTGTTCCCAGCTCAGTCCCATTGAAAACTACTGGGTACAGTCATCAAAACGGCAGCTCAGATGAAAAATTGGTGGAATAAAATCGCCAAAACATTGGACGAGCCCGTTGTCCGCCGCTTAATGGAAAAGTTCGATAATTCCATCAAAACCACAATGAATAATTCGTTTCGTATTTTTTTCTTAAAATATAAGGAATAGCATGCATTTGAGTGAAACCCGTTTTCCAATCCGTTAATTCAAATCCGAAATAGACCCAAATGATGTTGTTCCATTACTAAGTGGGCCATGCTTCATAACATTTTTTTTTCAAGCTTCAGAACTTTTTTCTTGAAATTTTTGCAAAGTCACAGAATTATGTTCTTGTGATTATCGGATTATGGCTCAGCAGGCTTGAATTTCATTTTTTTTTTCGGTTGGACGTTTCGGTCCAACAGCGAGAGCGTGGAAGCGACTGAATCGAAGTTCGTTTGGTATTTTTTAATACTGTTGAGCCTTATATGGAAATCACTAAACTTACCGATTCAGCCGTATATTAAATATGGGGAGAAATTGATCATCGGGATGAAATTGATCAAAATACCTTGCATTTTTAGCTGTTCCTTATAAATATTTGGCTTACAAATATTAAGAGAAATCCTTATAGTATTTCATCAAGGAACTCTAATGATTGTTTTGATAAGTTTTTTGGATCGAAAAAGATTATTTTTGGATATAAATTTAAATTTTATTTTCTTGAATTATCATCATTCACAAAAAAACAACAATACATTTAATACAGCTACCATTGAACTTGGAATTGAACTCTCATGTGATTTAAAGTCTCGCATGATGAATTTATGTTTCAAGTCTGAAGTCAATGTGGTTCTGGACACGTTGATTTGACTAATTTAGGAAACAAAATTTAGATATATGTTATGTTAATCATTGCTCCCAGCCAAGACAATTTGATGATTTTCGTAATTAACTTCTCATTGATGAATTGTTATTTAAAAGGAAACACATATTGAAAAACGGAAATTTTAAAATAGTAAATGGAATAATAACAATATGTCGGTAGCATTAACATTAATTTTCCATAAGCCATTTGAGAAAAAGCTGTTTTGCTTACATGAAATCGCTAACAATTGCAAAACATTTTAATGTGGCTTTTATGAAGATATTATGCAGACTGAATTGTTTTATCTGAAGCCATTTTGCTTGATCCTATTCCGTTTAGTTTTATGACGGCAATAGTGGTGGCAAAGTTGCCTGGAAAAAGTTAAAAGTCAAAATTTGTTTATCTTTCGATAGTTTTGTTGTGTAATCATAACAACGTTGTTACGTGACATCCTTGATAAGGGCAATTCATCTATTGGAATCAGTTACTCAGGAAGTGAGTCTACGTAACTTGGAACAGGTGGAAGCTCAATCGTTCTCGAAAAGTTTTCCTCCAGATGAGTTTCCTTTAAGCAGTTTTCCGCAGTCCCAGTTTGGCTCTGATGCTATTCGGATCATCATCGCAACGTTATTTCTGGAGAAGGCTGCTATTAACAATATGCTGTGTATACCCATACATTTTAAGCTTTTAATTTGACGGCTTCCAGTGCTTCGTAAACCACATTCACTTCGTGAATTTTCCTATGTTTCGAGGGGTGCATCAGCTTGGGACCGAAGAGAGTACCAATTTGATCACGTTTCTTCAGAACCTTCT